AAAAAGAAATCCACTCCGCCCCCATTAAATACGACTGTCGGCCTACAATTTATGTAATTAACATATGATCTAATATATTACGTATACCTAGGCCTATGTGTTTGGCTACGGATAGCCAAGTGTATAGTACGAAATGCTAAAAAATTCATATGTAAAGGAAAATCATCCTAGAGCAATGCTGAAAAGCTACCGTCTCCATAGAACAAAAATTCCTTGTGGGACCTTGCCATAGTATCATGTATCTAACGGCAACGTCCTCGACATCAACCACACCACAGTGCGGCAACACGAAATGTGCTGTACATACACTCATCGCTACTGACTGATTTGAATGTGTGGTTTAATACACATAAAAGCAACTTGTAGCCTACATTTATTTCCTGTAGTATCTGATCTAGACTAGGACATAGGCCTACACACACGTACGTACCCAGCCAGCCTATTCTTATTCATCAGGCCAGCCTGCATTATAGTACATTGACACGAAATGTGCTACACACATACACTCATCGCTACTAATTTGAATATTATGTGGTTTAATACACATAAAAGCAATTTGTAGCCTACATTTCCTGTTATCTAATCTATTACACACACGTACTACCCAGCCAGCCTATAGTTCATCTTCCTCTAGCTCTAGGCCAGCCTGCATTACAGTACATTGTTTATCCATGATCTCTCAGAGGAGAGACCACCCACCCTTGCAAGCACCAAAAAAACGGCTCATTCTTCGCTACCAACTAGACTCGTGCAGGCGCATTTATTAGCCGCAAAGGTTACCATTCCAGGCCGTGATTGGTTGATAAACACAATGTGGAATATACAGCCGATTTGTAATCTGATCAATGACGAACACGCTTTCATAGGAAACCCACCTTAGTGTTAAGAGGTATGATATAAAAACGTTTTTCACATATTTCCCGACAATATTTTCGCAAAAACTCTTCATACTTTAAATTCCCCAGGCCTTATCTTCCATATTATTGCAAGATCGGCCTAATCGCGTCACAAACGAAGGAAGAGATAGAAAAACAAATGACTTAAAAATTCGCTCAGAATCATCATATATAAGTCCTCTCTCTCAGAGAGTGGGCTAAAATCTCGTCATGAGATATGTGAATTTACCCCACAGCTGATTAAATATAAAACATTTATAACTTCGATTTACTGAACTTCTAAATCGCCAATAAGATCAAGAACGGTCTCACTAAATAGATTTTTTTTTGTAATTCGCAATGATCGCACTTTGCAAAGAAGCCGATCGAAGAGGCCTAAGATTATGTTTGTAATAATTCACTGTTTAAAATCAGTTGAAAAACATAAATAAAATCAATGCCATATATCACGGTTATTCTATCCTTTTTAAGCTGGTGTCCAGCTTAAATCCGTTAAGACTGGTAGCGGGCCGCCTTATTTCCCCCCCCCCCATACACTTAAGGCAGAAATTACAGAGGACGCTATTTTAGGTCAGTTAGGTGAACTGTTTGCATAAATATGCATACTAGACCTCTACCTCGCGAAACAGAGTTCAGTGGTGTATATGTGAGTGAGCTACAGTGCTTATGCGTGGACGAACACCAAGAAGTAGGCCGATATCTGTTAAATAGTCCTTAGTAATTGTTTTGGTATTCAAGCTGACAAAAACTCAAAAGCTGTTATGTTTGATCTGAAAGTTTATTGTGTCCCAACAAGTCGTTCGAACCTATCGAATACAAAATACAAGAAACTACATAACTCAAGATGCTCAAACTTTTTAACGCGATAATAGATTAGCGTAATGATAAACTAATTAATTCTCAATCTCGTAATTATAACTAATTAATTCTCAATACTTTTAACTCATATAATCAGTACTAAACTCACACTTTTTGACATCCAAGATTCAAATTACAACTTAACTCAACTCGGTATACTCTACTCAGATGACAGCCTGAATGTTGAAATATCAATTAACCTAATGACAAATACAAAGCATTATCAAATAATGTTGAAAATAGCAGTGTTTCTCTTATATTAATAAGTAATAATAATGATAATATTTATTTGAATTATGCCATATGTATCGATGAAACTCAAAAAGAAATACCTTAAGTAATTTAAACATATTGTTACTGTATTCCTCTCGTAGACCTTCATGAAGAAAACCCGAAATAATGCGATTCTCAACTCATACCAATGCAGCTGCTCTATTGTATTACATGTAACCATGGTTACTCTGGTAACCACTAGAGATAAAACACTTTCAGGGATCAACTTGATTATACTGTAACTTACACTAACTTAAAATGCGAGTCTCAAATAAGCCTCATAACACTGCAAATATCACTCCGCATATATAAAATGCACTACTCTTAAAATACTGTACCACAAAAGTAAATTAATACGCAGTGTTTTAAGATAAATTATGATCCGTTCTACAATGATGTTTAACTTACCGGTTGAACTGCTCAATACTCATAGAACAACCGTCTTAACTTTCTCAAATAACTACACTACAGAATTTTCGAACGCAATTCTCTCTCTCTACGAAAAATAATTTGCTGTGTGTTATCGGAGCGCGAAAAGAAAACCACAGAAATGTGAGACAGCTAACAAGAGAGGGTGCTCATTTCGTTCCCACACGAAACAGTAGTTAAGACAGTGTGAAAATTAATGGACTATAATAATGTCAGTGTGAAAATTAATGGACTATAATTGTAATAATAACTGTAATAATGTCTGTAGGTGTAATTTTGCCCTACCTGACGTGGAAATGTACCGAATACTCAGTACGTTTGAAAACAACTGCCAAAAAATCG